AAAGTTGTAAATCCCATTATGTGTTTTGTAAAATTCAGCGTGAAATTTTATTGGTGGTGAAAAGTAAGTTACTCATCCCCCGAAAATATGTTGCAAAATCTATTAACAAAGCGGTCACTTTTATCACAAAAGTTGTAAATCCCAGCATATGTTTTATAAAATTCAACGTGAAATTTTATTGGTTTTTAGAAACAAGTTACCTATCCCCTGAAAACAGGTTACAAAAGCCATTTAAGAAGTGGTCATTTTCACTATAAAAGTTGTAAATCTCACTGTGTGTTTTGTCAAATTCAGTGTGAAATTTTATTGGTTTTTAGAAACAAGTTGCTCATCCCCTGAAAAGAGGTTGCAAAACCCATTTAAGAAGTGATCATTTTCACTAAGAAAGTTGTAAATCTCACTACATGTTTTGTAAAATTCAGCATATAATTTTATTGGTTTTTATAAACAAGTTGCCAATCCCTTGAAAACATGTTGCAAAACCCATTGAAGAAGTGATCATTTTCATTATGAAAGTTGTAAATCTCACTATGTGTTTTGTCAAATTCAGCATGAAATTTTATTGATTTTTAGAAACAAGTTGCTCATCCCATGAAAAGAAGTTGCAAAATTCATTTAAGAAGTGGTAATTTTCACTACAAAAGTTGTAAATATTACTCTGTTTTGTAAAATTCAGCATAGAATTTTATTGATTTTTAGAAACAAGTTGCCAATCCCTTGAAAACATGTTACAAAACCCATTGAAGAAGTGATCATTTTCACTACGAAAGTTGTAAATCTCACTATGTGTTTTGTCAAATTTAGTATGAAATTTTATTAGTTTTTAGAAACAAGCTGTCCATCTCCTGAAAACAAGTTACAAAACCCATTGAATAAGTGGTCATTTTTACTACGGAAGTTGTAAATCCCACTATACGTTTTGTCAAATTTAGCGTGAAATTTTATTAGTTTTTACAAACAAGTTGTTTATCTCCTGAAAACAGGTTGCAAAACCCATTAACAAAGTAGTCACTTTCACTACAAAAGTTGTAAATCACAATATGTATTTTGTAAAATTCATAATTAACTACATGTATAGTAAAATTTACCATTCACATAGTGGGATTTACCATTCACGTAGTGGGATTTACCAAAAACCAGCAGACATATGACAGTAGTTACGTAACGTAATTGCTTGTCATTGTTTTCTAATTTCCACTTCATCTTCCCCGTAGGTTCACTCCCTCTCTCACTACAAATCCTCTTTCCCACAACCAAAACCCACCAAATCAACAATCTCTACAGAATGGTGATGCGAAGGAGTAAGATAATAGCATTTCCAACATTCTTCTTTCCTTCTTCCCGCATTTCATCACCGTCGGTCTTCCTCTCTCCTTTCTCTCACTGCGTCGCTTTCTTCCTCTCTCCTTTCTCTCACTTTCAGACAGGACATTTTGGTCTTTTGGCCAAAAATCTGAATTCCAGATTGGTACCCAGTCCCCTATATGTCATTTTGCTTATTCAGGTCCCTTATTTGTCTTTTTAGAATTCAGGTGGTATTTTATTGTCATTTTCCCTAGAAAATATTTAAGATGGTTGTTGAAAAACTGAAAAACTTATTATTGAAAATTTTAGCAATGAGTATTAAAAATACGAAAAATAAATACTGAAAATGTGAAAAAAATTAAGTGATAAAAAATTAGCTTAGAAAAATCTTTGAATGCAAAATCGCACCCCAAAAAAATTTAAGATGTTGGGTTTTGTTGAGAAAATATGTTAAGGTACAGAATGCAACTTAACTAGCTTTTTGCAAATTGCATGTTTTTAAATGTTTGACAGTAAAATTACTCTTAAAAAATATTTTAATAGAAAAATTGCACTGAAAATTATTTTTAAATATTAAGTGATATTGACAAAATATTTTAGGTTGTAGATGCACCCAATCATGTCAAGGATGAGATTAAGAGTACCATAAACATTCTCTCATCTCTTGCAAGTGGAGTTCGTGATTTGATGTTAACACAAATCTCATGGACAAATTATTAGTATCTATTTCTCTAATTCTAATAAAAGGAAATAACGTCCTAGAAAGTCATGCAATGCTCCAATCTGATTGGTTTTGTTAATCTTCAATACAATAAAAGAAGAACTTTGACGTTAATATGCTGGCTAACCCAGCTTTGGTAATGCCTCCTGGATTTCACATGATTCCTTCGGACGATTTTCGTTTGTTTGTTCTCTTTTTTGTAACTTAGAGTAGTATTTACATTTTTTTTTTATTTACCAAAGCTTCCAAAGAAAAAAAAAAGAAACAAGGTTCGGTTTGATATGCAAGACTAGATGGTGGGATTAGGCCAATAGTCAAAGAAAGAGTTGACTCAATTTATGAGTGAATTCAAATCATATTGACAATATAAAGTTTGTATTGATAGATGATTTATAAATACTTTTAAAAGTACTCATTGAGTCTAGTAACATGTCCTAATCAGCTATATTCTCAATAAATGCAGGGTATATTTGGATCATTTTTTACAAAACAAGAATTTTCACAAACTGAAATTTTCTGAACTTAAGTTTGAATGTCACTAACACAATTCATTTGTCTTGAAGATAATTTTAGTTTAACGGAACCCATAAGCCCAAAAAAGGTAATTTTGACTTAAACTTAGTGTTTTTTTGGGGGGATGTTATACTTTTAACACTCATTCCTATTAGGGATGCAGATGAGCAGGATTGGGTAGGGCAAGATCCCTATCCAAAATATGAGCGGACTGTATTTGTAGCCCGCTGCCTGACCTTGTCCGTAGAAGCCCTAACCATTTTGGACTAGGCATGAGTGGGCTGGGCAGGGCGGGCTTCGCTGCCCGAATGGTAATAGCCTGCTAATATCACATGTAAAAAAGCTTTCGTCCATACCTAAAAATTTGTAATTTTACATTTTCTCACATTGAAATCATTCCAAAACAAGTCTTAACAAATATCCAAATAAATAATATTTGTAATCCATTTAGAACAAAACAACTCAAGATTGTAACTAAAGCCTTGAAATTCAAACAGTTTGTATCAATCTCCACAAAGTTGAGAAAAGAATAAAGCATCTGAAAAAAATCAAGAGCTATTGAAGCACCTTGAGATATTTCGTTGAGGGCTGTGGATGTCAATGTAATAGAAGTTTGATTATTCATTCAAGCGGTAAAAATTAAATGTTACCTAAAGGATTGCAAAAAAATATTAAAATTGAAGCAATGGGCTAACAAGAATAATATAGATTATACAAAAATATGGTGAAAAAAAGAAAAATAAAAAATCTTAAAATCTTATAATAATTTAATATAACCACTTTTAATATGCAAACACTTATTCTATGATACAATATAGTTAGCAGTCCACACAATTAAAAGACTTCTTCTATCATATGACTTGTTCATAAAAAATTAATACAAAATAACTAAATATAAATTAAATTAAAAAATGTAATTTAAATAATTAAACCCCAATTTTTTGTCCTTGCTCCAACCCCAATCTTATTTTGTATCTTGTATAAATATTCAAAATTGTTGATTTATACAAATATGTAACGTATAAACTCCATTCTCTAATAAAGAAAAGTTGTTAATGATATAGCGGGAAAAGCTGATTTATAAATAGCCAACATTGTAATAGAAACATACAATAGGATATATCTAATGAAGCTCATGAAAAACAAGTTAAAAGCAAGATACTAGTACTACTTCAGAAGAATTAAATTCCCTAAAATGGAAATATAACAGACATGTAACAATAATAAATTAAATTACAAAGAGAAGGGAGATAAATTTTTTTTTTCAATAGAGAAATATAATATATTAATATTATTTCATAAATTATACTCCTTCGACCCTTAATATAAGACCTATTTAACCAATTTAATTAGATTAAGAAAGTTAGGTAGGTTAATTAATTATAAGAAATATGATATGTTTTTTCTAAAATACCATAATTATCTTTCTTAATACTCTATCTTCCTTTTCTACTTGATTATGGTTGAGGGAGTATCTATAGGAGTAATTTAGAAAAAATTGATAAATATGATAAATGAGTCTTATATTTAGGACTAAAACTAACTTAACAATTGGATTCTATATTAAAGATCAGATGAGTAATATATATAATTTGGGCAAGGCCAAATGGGCATGACAGCATGTCTAGCTCGATGCCTAACCCTGCCCATGAAATGCCCAACCCAAAGATGCGCACTCTTTTTCTTTTCGGCTGGGCTGGACAATTTTTTTTTGGGCTTGGGCCTCATGTACACCCTTAGTTCCTTGAAACCCAAAAAAAAAAAAGGTCCCACTTGCTTTTTCACCTTCAAAATTTCGGTTTTGACCACCCAAACTCCAAGTCTCCAACCCAAACAATTCCTAAAGTAAATCAAACCGAGGCTTATGATCTTTCAACTTAACCCCATTGTTATTGTTCCCTCCTGTTCATAATATAAGATTATGGTGAAGCTTTTTTATAAATTAAGGAATGTTAGCTAAGTTTTAAAATTTGTTTTAAATTCATAAACGTTACCTATTTTTCTATTATTAAAAATATGATTGAAAAATTCTCTAATATCTTTTCTCTGTATAATAAGAGATAAAAGTGAAAAATTATCATTAATTAACTTGTTAATATCTTATACTTTGGATCAAAATTTTTTTACAATACTTCTTGTATCATGGACAGAGGGAGTAGCATTTCTTTTCTTTTCTTTTTTTTGGGTCAAATAACTAGTATTTCTCTTTAATTGTGGTTTCTTTTCTTTTTGCTTGTTTGCTTTGTAGACACTATCATATACTAAATATGGGTATCTTTCCCAACAGAGATTCAAACCTTAGTTCACCAAGTTGTGGGTCACTAGTCTCTTTTGTTAGACAAAAAATAATTATGAGGAAAAAAAACGCAAAATCCAATATATATATATATATATATATATATCATAAAATAGCATAATTATAAATTCTACATTTATTGTTGATTGATGATGATTCCCATGTAAACTTTACTTCCTTGTACTCGATGGACTAAACGCATTTCCACAATGATCTAAGAAATTGCCCAATTTTATTCTAGCATAATATGGTAGAAGTTACCACTCCAAACATATAGCCTTGTAGTTCTTTTTGGACTTGATATGGGTTTAATTGCAACAACCAATAGGAATTACTAAGAGCTTGTCTTTTCTTCTTACTGTGGAACCAAAGGACTCAGTCATGTCAAATTCTTCAATCTGCATTTCATTGGGAAGCTTCCAATTAAAATGATAAAGCAATTGAGCCAGTGCCTGCTCAATAAGAGCTGTGGCAAAAGTGATTCCTGGGCATATCCTCCTTCCGCCCCCAAATGGTATGTATTCAAAGTCTCTTCCTCTGAAATCAATTGGACTATCAACAAACCTCTCTGGTCTGAATCTCTCAGCTTCATTCCAAATCATGGGGTCTCTTCCTATAGCCCAAGCATTCACAATCACTCTCGTCTTAGCAGGTATCTCATATCCATTGATTTTGCATTTCTCCGTGTTTTCTCTCGGAAGTAGCAGTACTGCTGGCGGATGTAGTCTAAGAGTTTCTTTAACGACCAGCTTTAAATATTTCAAATGCTGAAGGTCTGCTTCAGAGGCATAACCTTTTTCTCTGAATACCTTTCTTACCTCTGCCTGTGCTTCTTCCATAACCTTTGGGTTTTTCAGCATTTCTGACATTGCCCACTCTAGGGTTGTTGATGATGTGTCAGTTCCAGCTCCAAAAATGTCCTGATTATGGATGAAGCTGATTGAGTAAAGATTGGCAAATCAACCAGAAACATAGTTGAAGAAATGTCTAAGGCATATTGGATGCTATTTTCAAGAAAATCTTGTCCTCTAGTAAAGGTAGCATCTTATATTATTTTTTACTAAATTTTCTTTGTGCAATATGCTATTAATAATTTCAAAGAGATGATCTAAACAAAACAGCCTATAAAAAAGTATAATCAAAATGGGATCTGAAGGCTACTGATAAATATTTGAGTGGGGCTTCTTCATCTCTTTCCTCGAATGTAACATTTTTAGCATATAATTAATGAAGAAATAAGGTACTAACCAGAATAACAGCTTTGATATTGTTGTCGGTAAGCTGAGGGGTATGAGGATCATTCTGCTGTTGAAGCTTTAGTAGAACATCAACTAGATCTTCCTCAGCTTGGCCATGGATTCTCTTTTCCTCTTTATGATCCTTGACTATGTTCTCAAGTATTCTATCAAGCTCCCTGTGAAGCCTCTCAAGCTTGCCTCTCATCCCACTGATCAATGGAAGAACTTTGACAGAAGGAAACAGATCAGAAACAGAGAAACCTCCAGCCAGCTTTAAAGCTTCTTCCATTGTCGATAAGAAAGCTTCATGGTCTCCACATTTCTTACCAAAAGCTGCTCTTGAAGTTATTCCAGTCGTGAGTGAGAAAAGGTACTCACTGAGATTAATCACAGATCCTTCATTTGCAGAAATTTTCCTAACAAGGGCAGAAACTTCTTCTTCTCTTATATGACTGAATGATTGAACTCTGTTTGCTGATAATAGCTCCACAGTGCAGATTTTCCTCAGATGCCTCCAGTAACTTCCATAAGGAGAAAAACCAATGTTGGTTGAATTGTATGAAATAATTCTTGAAGCAAGAAAATACGGTCTGTTAGAGAAAATGGCATCATGGGTCTTCATGATCTCTTTGGCCATTTCTGGGGATGAGATTACTATGTTTGAAGTTTCTCCAAGCTGAAGATGCATTAAGGGTCCATATTTGTTTGCCAATTTTCTTAGAGAATGATGGGGTAGTGATCCTACAAACTGATGTAAATTCCCTATGAGAGGTATCTTCCATGGTCCTGGTGGTAGGGTTCTGAGGGACTTTCTGGAATGAGGTCTATTAACTATGCTTAATACAACTATGAAAAAGCAAAAAAAGGTGAAGAAGAAAGAAATAGGAACCTGAACCTCCATGAAAGTCTATGTTATTATTACCCAAAGGCATAGGATGAGGCTTACAGGATAAAACAGTACTGCTTCTAAGTTATTAAATAAATTTATAGGTAGAATCAGTTGGTAAGTTCATTCATTGATTAAGGACACAAAAATGTCTTGAGAAATAATCAAAAAGAAGAAAATAATAATTATCAGGTACTTAAAGAAAAACGTGTTCAAATTCCACTACTTCTAGTTGGCAGGTCTAAATTGACGGTTTAGGAAAATGGGAGGTGAGTGAGAGGGGAAGGAAGAAAAGTAGAGAGTAATAAAAAAGGAAGAAGATGGCGTAGTTGATGAGAGAGTACATGAATTGACAATATACTCCTAGAAGAATTTTTATCCTTTTTATAAATCAAATGATTAAATATTTAGTTTAAATTTACTTTTATTTATTATTGAGCAGAATGCTATTTTTAAAAAATGCATATATTATATAAAGATAAAATTTTTAAATGTTTAAATTTTAAGACAGAGTTATAAAGGTTTAAAGTTTTTTTTTTTTGGGTTCTGAAAAAATATATTGGCAGTGATTTATAAATAAAATGATTAAGAGTATATGATGATATATATACATGGTATTTTATACTAAAACATGAGTCTTATATTTGAGACTGAAAGAGTATACATATATATATATAAATATATATTGATTAGGAGTAGAAAAATAAAAAGACTTGGTATATGTATACAATTGAGAAAAGAAAAGAAAGAAAGCAACTGGGATAAAAACTGATGGGAAAGGAAAATTGGAGAACGAAACGTAGGAAAGAGAAAGAACAAGGGCGCTAATCATCTAAGGAGTTAATTGAGGATTCATCTAGGTTTAGGTTTTTTGGTCCAAATATTAAAATTTGATGAAATATAGATAAAATTTCAATAACTTCACCAATCTCAATCTTTTAACTCTTAAAAGTTTTCTAATTACTATTTTTGCCAGCTAACATAATATTATTTAATTCACCCCTGAATAATGTATGTATTTATATCTAAAACAATTATTCTAATGAGGCATTTTACCTAATATTTGTTTACAATTTTTTTTTAATACTCTAGTGAGTAAAATTAATTTTAAAACAGTCTTTCCCAGAATCCGTAGCACATTCTTCATATGCACTTGGTTAAAACTATCCTTCTAAATCTTCTCTTAAGGAAAAAAAAAAAAAAATTACAATGACCACGCTTTGTCTTCTCCGTCTTTGTTCTGCTTTCTGGAGTTCGAAAAGGACTTAAAACATGTTGAAAATTATGCATCCCTGGAGAATTTTTTTTTTTTTTAAAAAAAAAAATCAGTATCAAGTACCTCTGTGTTGAAAATTGTCTGCTTCAAGTTGGCAGTTCCAAATTTGCCAGGGTCACGTTTAACAATAAGTCAATAACACTTCGCTTTTGTCAAAATAAAACCCACAATTTTCAGCGCAAGATCATTAGCCATTACACCTACCAACCCAACAGAAACAGTTCATTTTTTAGCGGGGGAAAAATGAGAAATCCATGTGAGAATGCCAAGCCACAGGATCATTTATCTAATAAACTAGCAAGTACTTCCCGCGCGATGCGCGGAGCTCATAATTAAGAATTTTTTTAATTTTAATTTGTTAAAGAAACTCACATTCCACCGCAAATAACTATATTATTATAATTCAAAACATTTTATGAATTCACTACACTATATTATTAACTACTATATTTAAATGATTGTGTTTGTTTCATTACATTTGTAGCTTGTGCAAACTAATTAAATTAATTTAAAATAACTTCTTAGTATTAATTAGATAGGAGTTATGACATTTTAGCCTTGAATGCACTGTAACAATCATATTATGTATTTAACCTTATCTTTTACGACTATACTTCCACTTTACATTTGGATGTCATTATTTGCAAATTCCTACATCTTCGAATAGTAGTTAATCTTTTACAATAGTTTTTGCCATTATGCGCAAATGTTTTTCATCCTATCATGCTTCTAACTCATATAAAAGATTTATTCAACTTCAATTCTTTACTGAGAAGTGTATTTTTAATATTTCTTTTCAAATAATATAAACCGGTAAAATGCTGATTCAACATCATGATTGATGTACTCAAACTAATTAAAAAATATTAAGAAAGTAATATTAACATGTAGGAAAAGTGCTTCTAAAAAAAGTTGAAACAATTCTTGTGCTGATCATTTAGTGAAACCTACTCATAGTAGTAATAACATATTTTATATCCTTGGTGATTCTCCACCTATTGATCCTTTAGGTAGAGGTTGATGAAGGGTGTTGGTTATGCTTTCCTTTTAGGATTCTTATTTTTTTTTGGGTAGTTTTTTGTTTCCGTTGTGCCTTTCTTTGATGTTCTTAGCTTCCAGTTTTTATTCAAAAATCAAAAAATCTAAACAACTAACACAAATAAATTGATTATCAATAAGAAGCAAACTTATAAAATTATTGAAACTAAAAAATTAATTGTACTTGATACCTTTAGCTTTCAAAGTTATAAAAATATCATAGCACACATAATGTCGGATGGATAATGAGAAGACAAAGTCCTTGCTATTTATGCCCAAAAAGTAACTATGACCTGATGGTAAGGGAGACTGCATAGTATGGGGTAAGTATAATTAAGGGGAAGTCTATTAGCATGATTTCTTTTCTAACGTCACATTCCTTTGTGTTTCTAGTTACCATATGGATATGGTCCGCATGGTTTTTGCTTGCATGAAGCTCACTTTACCCTGGTTGTTTTTGGTGGGGCAGCCACTAAGTTTGGTGTTTTTAAGCAAAAAATGTTCGATGAGTGTTAAAGGTTGAACCTGATGAGAAGATTTTTTCCACCGAAGATAGTTCTAGTGACAAGAAGATTTTGAATGTATTTATTGTTTTGGAGAAACAAACTCCTGAATGCCCAAAGACCAGGTCAGATAAGGAAATCGAGTAAAGCGGTGCATTAATTTATGTACGGATATATGAAGCTATTTTATTTTTATTTTAATTACAAAAAGAACTTATATCTTTCAAGTTAAAAATATTATCTTAAAATAAAAACAAATCTCTTGAATTTCTTTCAACATGATGACAATGTCTCCTTGTTAACAGTATTGGTTGCAAACTTCAAACACTCATTTTCACTACCACGCATAACTATAATATTGTTAAAGTGATTTGATACCCATGTGATGGATGTCATTAGATTGTATCATAACCAATAAAATCGTGATTTGAAGGCAAGGACTGATGAATAAGAGGAAAAATCATTAGATTATATTATCGTAACTACATATGCAATAAAAAAAAATCTTACTTTTGCCCTAAAAGAAAAAGGTAGCTGTTAACATTGTTATCAACATGATCCGTCCTTTCAATTTAGAGATAAAAAGAAGAAACATAAAGGGCTCCTTTTAATTTGCAGGGCCTGCCATCAACATTTGTCATATTTTAGCAGCCTACCATTGCAGCCAAAATGCCTACATGAGAGCACCGCTCCAATCCTGTGAACTTTTGCGGGTATCTTCAATGGGAGGATGTGTCTTTCACAAAAGAGGCAAGTTATACTTAATATCTACATACCACAAAAACATGAATCTATTCAAAGGCAGCCCAAACTTTGAAGATGCGTTGTTATTCCATAGAATATTATATGACACTTTCATAAAGAACTTTTGACCAACTGGGCTTTTCATGAGTCATTGAATGAGGAACATTTACACAAGATAGCCACGTTGCTTTTCCCATTGATAGGTGCGATCATGAAGAGATCATCAATGTCCGTTTGATTCTTTGACAACCTCCTAACCTGTGGTTATGTACACATTGATAACCCAGCATGAGGGAGAATAGAACATAATACATATAATGCAGAACTAAAGAGGGTGAAACTCTTTGAGGAAACAAATGAAAATGAGAATTGAGGGAAATTATGTGCTAAACAATTTGAAATAGGAAAAAAGAAACAAAGAAAATGATAGGTGAAGTGATTCAATTCTGTTATGTTTAAGGCACCCGGGAGATCAACTCTCTTAGTAGTATATATAATTGAATGTTTTAAGTTCATGGCTTACTATAAAAGATAGTTGGATCCAGTTAATCAAAGGGTAGATATCCCGCAGTCAAGACATATAGAATAACCTCACAAGACCCAACATCTGTCGTTACTCCATTGCAATCCTTGTGACTAAGCACCAGATCCAACTTCAACTTTACCCCTTGGACTACATAGTCTGGAGCCCCAAAGCTGAAATCTTTATATTTCTTGGAGAATCTAGGAATAAATTTTCAAGCTGCAAGAGGAGAAATAACAATCAATAACTGAAAATCATAAGGATAATCAGAAGCTCCCAAGATCCCAGTGTATGCATACACTTAAGTCTCTAATAGGCTCCCTGCTGAAGCAATAAGCTGTTGGATTTATCTGTTAGCTTCAGCTTTACCAAGACAGTTATGGTATGCCTGCACATTCATTTTTTTTTTGAACAAATTATGAAGATCTTAAAGAAATGATAAATGTTTTGAATTAAGGGAAAATGCACTACTACAGAAAGAGAGCTATGTAATTAACCTAGCTGCATACTCTTAAGAAACTCATCTTAAGAAACTCAACTCCTTTAACTCCACCTTTGGAGGAGGAGGCCCCTAGTAAAAGCTCGACACCTCAGCAAGTAAGTGGGGTTTAGACAATAATGTGCCAAAAAAAAAGAAGAAAGAAAGCAAACATACATTTGCTGAAATTATAAGAGTTTAATGAATAAAAACAATTTACACATCAAATATATGATTGAAAGACACCTCTGCGAGTTTCTGAACTTCAAGATGCAATTGAGCATCCTTTTTCTGCAATGATGCTTCTTTCTTGCACAGCCAGAGCCCTATAGACATAATTCTCCAAGCTCAATGCACAGCAAATAATGAACAGTAATAGAAAGAGGCAAAAAAGAGCAGAAAAAAATTAGAATACTGAACATCATGCTAGTACTTACAAATGTAAATTATGGTTTTCCATGGAACATAAGGAAGAGGCATCATGGCTGATGTTAACAGCATATCTATCGGTTAAAAGAACCAACGGAAATTATAGAAACTATTGATGCTTCCTCATATTCAAAAGTATTAGTCTCCTCTATCAACATCTGCATACATGAGATGGAAACACAATTTTATTATATAACAAAAATAACAGAAATTTTTTCATCAACAAAATTGACATTGGAAACCAAATAAATGAGCCAATACCTTTGGTAATCGATAGAAATATCCTCCACCATGCAATAGGGCAAATGCACTCCTCTGTGTTGTGAAGAGACAGAACAACTTATTATAAAATAACAGAAAACAAAGAAATTTAACAACCAACAAATTGATATTGGAAGCCAAATAAATGAACATAGATGTTTCACAAAGTATGAGAGCCACCCACCATGGTTTGTCGCTGCTAATTTTATGAAGAAAACGAATCTGAGGCAAGGACGAGGGAGAGTGAGAAGATCAGAGACATCTGAGGAGGAAAGGGCTTCGGGGAAGGGAAAAGAAGAGAGCAATGGTCAGCTCTGAGGGAGAAGATGATGCTCCTCGATTTAGGTCGCCATCTTCGTGTCTTAGCCTTATGTAGCAGAAGAAACCACCAACTCTATGCTAGAGTCATCCCTTCAAAACTGGTTGGATATGGGAACTCTTGGCGCTTGAATATGAAGGATGAAGGCAGCATCACAGCCGCTGGGCTAGTATCGAATCATGGAGATCATTGATGGAATGAATCGAGGAGCCATCAAGTAAAAAGAGAGAGTGGAGGAAGAGAAAATCGATGAAAAGCCGATGGAGGAAAACCAGGTGAGATTCAATGTCAGGGTAGCGGGTTTAAATGTATGAGACGCCGAATTCAAAATTCAAAATTTGAAAACCGTAGGATTAGAGAGATGAGAATGTAGGGGAGAGAACCTTTTGAAATCTTTCTTTCAGTTTTGATGCTTGAAGGAGGGCTAGTCAAATGATTTTGAATTTTGTATTTGAATGGAACATTGCCTGCATCAAGGACCAACCCAAAATGGAAATATATGCTCTCTAGAATCTAGAGTTCATTGTCCTCTTCTCCATCTTCATGTTTCTGCGCCACCTGCAATTCAGCCTTATGTAATTCTGCATCACTGCGATGATGAAGGCCCTGCTTCACTCTATTCTAGCTTTTCCGTTGTTTCAGCCTTCATGACAGCAGGTTCTCTCTCTCTCGCTTCAAGCCGTGCCGTGAAAATTAAAATTTCTCTCTCCATTGATTTCAGACTGTCTTATGAAAATTGAAATAGGATGGAAGTTTTATATTTTTTTCTTAATATCCACCTTTGATATTTTTTATTTTTCACAATATAATTGATTATTTAAAGTTACATAAAAAAATTATATATTTGATAATAATTCTTGTCATGGATTTTAAAAATAAATTTTAAAAATTAAAATTTTATTAGATTATAACAAATAATAGAAAATTTATAAGATTTTTTTTAAATGATACTTATAAGAATAGTGAATAATTGTAAAAAAAAATTTACCAGCATGAATATTTGTAAAAATAATCTTCAATGATTCATAAAAATATATTTTCTAGGGATATGGAATAATTTTAAAACAATCTTCAACAACCACCATAAAAAATATTTTTTCTATTTTCGTCTTTTTAAATATTTAAAGAAGACAAGAAAAAGAAAATATCTTGTTATCAACCATAATTTTGATCTTGTATTTAATATTTAAAAAGTAATTTCTAAGGATATGGAATAATTTAAAAATAATCTTCAATAACTGCCTTAAAAGAAATTTCTATTTTCATTTTTTTTGAATACTTAAAAAAGGCAAGAAAGAGAAAATATTTTATTTTTAACAATAATTCTTGTCTTGTATTTAAAATAAAGAAAATAAATTTACAAAATAAGATTTTCTAAAATTATATTAATAATAAAAGATAGTATTAAGATTTTTTTAATAATTTACTAATCTATAATTTAAAAAAATCTTCAACATCCTTCAGAAATAATATTTCTAGTTTTACATTTTTTATATGTTTAAAAAAAGCAAGAGAGAGAAATATTTTCAAGGGCTTTTGTTTGATTACATTTCAAAGCCTCTTAAAACAATACTACACACAGCCACTTAATTGAGCCACAATACACGATGCCCAAGACAAGAATTTAGTGTCTTGTGAATAGTGATTTGGGTGTGGAGCCAATGCTAAGCCATTTTGAGAGCGGCTTGGTGGTAGAGTTTGTGTGTATATATTGATATTGATGAACTAAGCATAATAATATACTGTACAATACATATAAACCCCAATGTGAAAAATAAACAATTTTGGCCTGACTTGTACAAGCTCGGTTGGGAACCAACTATTCCTGATTCATCAGCTAAAGTGAGAGAGAAACTTTGGTAAGAAGTAATTAGCATTTGGCTTTCACTAATTTTCAACATAGCCTAAGTATCCAAAAGACTAGTTATAGAGCATAATAAAAAGAGAGATATTTCCATAAGTACAGCTGTGCAAAGAGCTTAATGCAAAGGCCATGCTTGTCTATATTTTCTCCGTTTACCACCTGTGCTACAAAGAAAATTTGAAGGAAGCTCGACCTCATTGATCTCGGAATCTGAACAGGATGTGGAACTGGAATCATCATCATCACTATCAGAACCATCCACCAGATTTTTATTCAATCCATCAAATGAATTTTCAGGCTCTGGAAACCATTTTCTTTTTAGGGATCCAATCGTCTCATTTACTCTCACAGGGCTAGCATTGCTTTCCTGCAGAAATGAACTTGATAAACTCGAATGCCCAATATCATTAACTGCTGCAGCAGTGTCTCGAGTTGCTTCCTTTTCATTCAAAGCTCCACTTGTGATAAACCCGTTATCATCATTATCACTGTCTTTGGTCTCAATAAAAGCTCTTTGTGGTCTTGATAAACTTGAATGCCCAATATCATCCTCTGTTGCTGCAACGCCACAGTCACTTCCTTTCCCTTCAAAGCTCCACCTGCGAAACACTCATCATCCTCATCATCACTGTCTTTGACCTCAATAACAGCTATTTGTGATCCCATACCTGCATTAGCTGGTAAAGAAAAGATATTTAGACCTACATACATGAAGAAAAATAAGTTTTGCCTACAAAACTTTGCAACCAAAAGCTAAGAAATTGATGACTATATTCCATAAACTGAATATAGTCTTGGTTGTTTCTTCTGGACATTATGGAAAGTCCAGCCTTAGATCCTCTGTTTATCTAAATATCATGCATATACATGCAGCAAAAATCAATGCACGTTAAATGTCCATATCCGATGCACCTGGCACAACAGTGCTTGGAGTGTCTGGGGACTGCCTTGAATCATCATCATTGTCATCATCAATAAGATGGGTATTTCCACGATCGTCCATCTTTCTTTGAGATGGAGAAGTGTCTGCGGCAGTATTTTCACACTCACGATCATGTACATCAACTGCATTCACATAATAGAAAGTCCAGCTTTAGATCCTCTCTTCATCTAAATATCATGCACATCCATGTAGCATAAAAAGAGGGATGTTTTATATCCATACCTGATGCACCTAGCTCAGCTGTGTTTGGAGTGTATGGGGATCGCCTAGCATCATCAGCAACAGCGAGATGGGCATTTCCACTGTCGTCTGCAGCGATATTTCTGCACTCATGGTCATCCATATCAACTTCATTATTATCCTGTCCGTCCATGTCTTCAGCAAAAACCCCTGGACGAGCATCATTACATATCAAAGGCTATCCACAAGCAGGACTCTGGTGACAAATCCATCAGGTCAACAACAAAGAGGCAAGATGAATCCTAATCTCCAAAAAAAAAACAATTCTTGCTGTCACTCCCAATTCACCTCATTTAGATCCTCTATTTATCTAAATATACATATCCATGCAGCAAAAAGCAATACATGTTAAATATCCATACCTGATGCACCTGGCATGGCTATGTTTGGAGTGTTTGGGGATTGCCTTGAATCATCATCATCATCATCATCATCATCATCATCATCATCATCAGTGAGACAGGTATTTCCAAAATCGCCTCTCTTAGATGGAGAAGTACCTGCAGCATTATTTCCACAATTATGTATATCAACTGCATCTCAGTTTTACTTCTAAACATAATGGAAACTCTAGCCTTAGATCCTCTCTTTATCTAATATCATGCATATCCATGCAGCACAAAGAGATGCATGCTATATATCCATACCTGATGCACCTAGGTCAGCTGTGTTCGGAGTGTCTGGGAATTGCCTAGCATCATCATCAACAGCAAGATGGACATTTCCACAGTCATCTATAGTGATATTTCTGCACTCATGATCATCTCTGTCAACTTCATTATTATCATGTTTGTCCGTGTCTTCTTCAGCGGAAACCCCTGGACAAGCATCATTAAATATCAAAGGCTATCTACATGCAAAACTCTTGTCACAAATTCATCAGGTCAACAACAAAGAAGCAAGATGAATCACAACCTCCAAAAGCAAGAATTCTTAATTGCTGTTGTTCTCCCAATTCATTTCACAAAAACAAAGCCGAATTAAAGAAGAGGGCTGGTTTTACTGATAATCCATAGTAACTACCATAGAATGTTTCATGACTAAGAAATGCAGTATGCTAAAATTTACAAGAACATTTGCCCAAAGAAATTTTCACATATTTGAATGCTTCTTTTCTTCCATACACACAATTACATAAGCTCAATCACCATACCTTCAAGAAAATTGAGAGTTGAGAGCACCCTAGTCACATGCTGCAAATTTTTACACAGAACCCATGCAAATGGACAACACCTAGGATGGAATGAAAAAATCCCACTTAACCCTAAATTGAAACATGCCTCGGTTCTGTTGGTTTTACCACATACGTATAACAGAAGATCAATTACCAGAGTACTTGCACTACAATTCCAAATGCACGGTGTAAACATCTCTCTATTTCCCTTCAACATAAAGAACTTTATTGATATTATCCATTAGACAACTAAAAACATAGTTCGTTATCCCACAATAAAAAATTTATGTGACTAGCCTTAACCCCATGCACTTGCATAGGAATTCAACTGATTTTTTTTGCTAAGAAATAACATACACAGAATTGAATAAGTAAATTAATTTTAAGGGGAAAAAACAATCAAATTAGAAATAGTACACAAACATAAAGTAGCAGTAATAACACATTCTACTTTGATATAACATCAAAATTGATCCTTCTACCTAATCTATGCACCATATGTACACAATAATTCATTAATCTATACAAATGTCATGTTTCCATAAACTTAGTCACAGTTATGCAATTTATGTCTGATCCTAATAAATCGAGAAATGTCAATATGCAACTAATACAGCTACCAAAGTGAGATTTTTAATCCAAAAACATTAGGAAATTTAATCCATCCTATCATTCTAATCTCAATCAAGACTTTTTGGGAAGCACTAGTCATGCATATCCAAGTAGAAAAAAGAGATGCAAAGCGAATTTCAAAATTGTCATTTGCTGTAATTCTCCCTGTTCATTTGACCTAAACAAAAGAAGAGAGATAATTTAATAGATAATTGATAATAAGTACTATATATCTGAATGCTTCTTCTCATCAGTACAAAATCAAATCAGTTTAATCATTATTCCTTTAAAAGAATTGAGTGTCCAGAGTACCCTATTGATATGTTGCAAATTTTCACACAGTTGCCTTGCAAATAAGCAGCACCTTAGATGGAATGAAGAATTCCCTCTCACCCCTGTATTGAAACTTAACTTACACTCCCTTTCTTTTGTCTCCTAAATATAAGAAAATGATCTATTTCCCTAGTATTTTATCTAAAGTTCCAAACAGAGGGTAGGACATTATCTCCCCTCTCTTTCCCTTCAATATAAACAACTTTATTAACCTTATCCTTTAATTCCTAAGGAAATAATCTATTAAGCCAAAATTATTTAAATAAATTTTAGAACCTTTCTACTGGTGCAAAGATTGGACCCAGTTAATTACTTGTTCATAAAAAATGTTATGTGTTTTGTAAGCGCATCACACACAGCCTTAATAAAGCAA